GATCGCTTAGTTTGTTATAAATTCGCTTACTTTTTTCATAAAGATCGCTTAGTTTGTTCTTAAAGATCTTTCAGTTTGTTTTTAAAGAACATTTAGTCTTCTGTTAAAGATCGCTTAGTTTATTCTTATAACTCATTAAAGATCATTTGTTTTGTTCTTAAAGATCATTTAGTTCGGTCTTAAAAATGGTTTAGTTTTTTCTTTAAGATCGTTTAGTTTGTTATTAAAGATCGCTTAGATAGTTCTTAAAGATCGCTTAGTTTGTTTTAAAGATCGTTTAGTTTGTTCATAAATGTCGTTTAGTTTGTTGTTAAATATCATTTAGTTTGTTCTCAAAGATCGCTTAATTTGTTCTTAAATGTCGCTTAGTTTGTTGTAAAATATCGCTTTTGCTTAGTATTAAATGACCGAAAACCTGAGTAACTTTCGGCTGGATGGCCGAAAGTCTAAGTCAATTTCGGCCAAAACCGAAGAAAAACCGAAAGTTAACTTTTCTCTTTCGGCCGAAACCGAAATTAAGCCGAAAGTTAACTTTCCAGTTTCGGCCGAAACCGAAACTTGGCCGAAAGTGATAAAAAGGCCACTTTCGGCGCCGAAACCGAAGCCGAAGCCGAAATTCGGTCGGCCTCTATTCACAATACCATCCCAAGTGTCATTGTTTCCACAATACCATCCCAAGTGTCATTGTTTTAAAATGTCTAAAGAACGTCTTATGAGGATTCTGGCAGAAGTTCTGCGGGTAAATAATTGACTGATGAGTTTTGTAATGAACTGGGTTCCCCCACCCCCACAATAACTTTTCAGCTGCATGCAAGCAACGCAGAAAGGATATTGAATTAATTCTTTGTTCGAAGCCCTTGATCATTCTCTTTGGCTAACCTTTCAGCCTTCTGTAATGCAAAATCCAAAGGTTTCCAATACAAATTGAATAACAATGATTTCAATTCTAGGCTTTATTTTGCGAGCAGACCGATACCAATAAGACAACCTACAGTCTTAAATCAATATTTCATTATTATCCTGTTCAGGCTGAGTGTCAGACCGATTTTATAATGAAAAACATGTCTAAGCTATTTCTTGAATCCTCACCTGAAAACCTCGAAGGCTGCCACGCATCAACGAAACGCTATCATAGCATTGGGCAATACGTTATCTCATTGATCATTTTGTTTTCCAGAACTGCAGTGTTGATAGCTATTGCCAGGCACTGAGCATCTCTATTTTCCCTATGAAAAGTATCTAGAGACCCCCCTCCCCCCCCAACCACACACACACAGAACGATCCGGTGAAGAGGATCTGATGAGAACAAATATATTTCTATACATCGACCATCACTGCCCAGGATGGTCTAAGGCAGGGATCGGGAACCTATGGCTCGCGAGCCAGATGTGGCTCTATTGATGGCTGCATCTGGCTCGAAGACAAATGTTCGATTATAAAAAAAAAGTCGCATTAATGGTAAGAAATACTCATTATTGATTAGCAACAGCATAACAATTTTATTAACAAAAATTCAGAGACATACTTATTGCATTTTTAGTGTTGAAATGACACAAAATGCACAAATTTCCTTGAATTTTTAGTTTTTAACATAATGTATGGCTCTCACAGAATTACTTTTAAAAATATGTGGTGTCCAGGGCGCTCTTAGTCTCAGACAAAAAGGTTCCCGACCCCTGGTCTAAGGCTAAGGGAATCAACCGGGTTCTAAGTCTAAGAACATTGACATTTGGCGAGCAGTGTAAAGTAATAATATCGTTCCTATACTCTTCTTTTTTCTTTTCAATTCGTATACTCTTCTTTTTTTATTTTCATTATTTAATTCTTCTTACATATGATTTTTTTGTTTCCAAATCCAAGATGCGTAACTAGTAGATTCTCTCCCCCCCCCCCCCCCCCCCTAAAATCAGGCCAATAACTTTTATCATTCATATTTAATATAATCTGGGGAAATCTGGGGAAAAATATATACTAAATCTGGGGAATTATAAAAAAATCTCAACGGCAGCTGTGGAAAAGAAGATGCGACCCAACCGAACTTTTACATCCCAAGCTCAGTTCAGCAGATTGGAGCTGTCTTATTACGGTATTTAAATATTTTAATTAAACCTCTGTATTTATAAACAGGCCCTGAAATATATCATGTGTAATTTTAAAGAACACAAGAGATAAACTAGGAAGTTGAATGAAGGCCTTGCCTTGGTGGTGGTCTAAAAATAGTCAATATTAACATGAATATGATTGATACTGATTAAACTATTACTACTATTACTATTACTATTTGACTATTGATACTCGTCCACACTCAGACTAATTAGTAATTCTTATTAATTATGTAAATTATAAGATACTATACAATATAAACTATACAATATAAACTATTATATAATATATATTAATATTATATATATATAATATAGAAGTTTTAGTTAATATAGTCTATCTACTTACACTTACAACTTACAGACACTTTAAAATTTCACTTCCGGTACTCTAGTAGAGTAGAGCACTGGTAACACTGGACACTGGAATTAAACCAGTCACTTTGGAACTTTCTTTGGCTTAAGTTTAAGAGTCTATGTATAGGTAAATTTTGACTACGCTTGCCACTATTTTCTCAATGGCCACCATCTTGGTTAACACGTCACAAGAAGTCATCTATCCCTATGCCTAACCTGAACCCTAAATCGATCCATATGCCGCATGCCTAACCTGAAACCCTAAATCGATCCCTATGCCTAACTTGAACCCTAAATCAATCCCTAAAATAATTTAGTAAAAATAAACAAAGGGAAGTCACTCCCTGGAAAATAAGTCGTGGCAATCGTAACTAGGATTAGCCATATTTATCTAGTAGGATTAGTAGGATACTAACTTATCTATAACTATAATCTAAACCAAGTCCAAAGTGTGTGGAGGGGGGGGGACCCATACATTTTGCAGGCACATAGATTTTTGGAGATTTAGGTATTTTTAGTTAGTAATCGATCATTTATAGAGTCATCCCTTCTTTTTAAAATTAATTTGTTATAATTTAAATTTTGTTTTAATTAAATTGGTTAGTCTAAAACATTTGTTGTTAATAAGCCTGACCTATTATTAACTTGTTTTGAAAGGATCATTACCTGATCGTATCATTTTTCGGTTAGACTAAAGTATTATAGTTATAGTAATCTCATTTAAAAAGCTTTCCTAAGTTAATTTTTAATATATATTTCAAACAGCTCCCATTTATATTTTATATATCATTATAAATATTATGCTGTAAGTGTAATGAATTCTTGTGGCTCATCTTCATTGTCTTGATCATTTTCAACTCATTACAGTTGTCAAGCTCGTCCTGATAACCTCATAAGACATTTCTTCATGGAAATTTAATTACTGAGCTGACTTTGCTTTAGTGCGTTGACATGACTTCTACAAAAGTCAAGCCTGCCAAGCCGAGAGAGGATAACCTTAATCCAACACACAAGCCTTCAGTGCCCAGCATGGATACATTTTTTATAAAGTTGCCATTTGCTTTCCCCGTCTCAGAGAGTAATGGTCGGAAGATAAATGACATTCTTGGTTTCAGCTTGCGCCAGCAAAAAGATGATAAAATTTCAGATAATGCTGAATTTATTGTACTTGTCATCCATCAGTGCTTGGAAGCTATTGGTGTTGAAGCCAGAATAGTATTCGGTGAGAGAACTATCCAACCACAGACAAATTATAGGCCCCATGTGTGGCTTATGATACAGGGATATATTGTTGACAATACCTATGTAAAAGAACTTCAGAATCATAACATCACTTACATTGAGGATAATTTTCAGCAGTGTTACAGGGAATGTGAATATGATAAGAATCTATTGAAACAGACACCATCAATAGAGTCATTAGATATTGATCACTATAGTTTTAAAAAGCGTCTGAATTTTTTCATACACCAACCAAACAAAGGACTTGCATTAGGTCTCAATCGTGAACAGTCTTATAATTATTATTTTGCTATGATCAGACACATGTATGATGAATACAAGGTGTCTATAAAGGGCATAGACCCAAGGGTTCGATACATGTGCTGGTATTGTGAGCGCTATCCAAAGAATGGAATCAATTTTATTACAGATGTCTTAAGACAAGGAACAAGCGACGATCAATTAACAGAGACAAAGTCTGCCACAAGTTGGCAATTTCAACATTGCAGCCAGTGCATGGTTGCCAGTTATTGTGACCGTGAATGTCAGATGAAAGATTGGGCTGAAATTCATCAAATTACTTGTATATCACGTGGATCTATGAATCTATCCCCGTTGCCAGATTTACCCCCCTACTCATCAGAGACAAAAAAAAATATTTTGTCTTCAGTGTCTCATTTTTAAAGGAAATTGATCAGAAACCTATTTCTTAACAGCTGCTACCAGTCAACAAAGAATCAATCACTACCAGTTGTATTTACAACAAAAGATCAATAAACCAAATAATATCTTATTTATTATAATTGTAAAGACAAATTAAACAACATATAGTAACATTTGTCTTGTAGTTGTATTAATGTTGACTTAAAAAGGTAATGTCAATTGTCATGGTCAGGTCATAACATTATTTATGGGCTAGTTAATTTTCTGAATCAACAATCTGAACTAATTATCTAGAAAAATTGAATCTCTTAATATCAAATAAGTGCTATAAAAACTGTATTAAGATTATAGGTGATATAAATGCCGTATCAATTTATTTAAGAAGACATTTCAGGCATTTATAATTATAGGCCCTCCAGTAATTTAAATGTTCTTTTTGTAACACATGCTATAATTTGAAATACCTGGTACATTTAACCTGGTCCGAGAGTTAAAATATTTTTAATCCCAAAATTAAATTTTTAATCCCTTAATTATTAAGGCATTTGAAACAAAATAACAACCTCTTTCGGAAAATGAATGTATGAATAATATAATTGCATGTAAAATATTTTAAATTAGAGTCAAGACATTTTAGTTCAGATGTTTAAAAAAAATAAAATAAAAGTCATTAAGAACAAATACATGTTTCTATCAGAAAAGATCAGGAATAATGAAACTATCCAAATGTTATCACATTTTATGTTAATGGATTCCAACTCATGTTTGGCTAAAGATGACCTTGAAATACATACTGGTGGTTATTAGACGGTCAGAAATGGGAGAGAGGCAGTTGCTAACTTAGTTAAATATAATACAGTAAGTGCAGTAAAGTCGCAGTTATGGAATGGCAGATGCTATTTATTGTAGTACCGGGGTAGTACATTACCAGCCTGTTACTGACTGCCCTCCTGCATGCCAGTATTGGATAATAGAGCATGCACTTAATGGCCACATGTATACATCTCTTCTAGTAATAAATCAATTGTAGCATAGTCAGAAGAAAGCTATTGTGACTGATAAAACCATAATTATTAATAATTTACACAAAGAAATAGAATAAACTAATCACAGAAGATCTTAACTACCTGGTAATGTTAAGTTGATAAAGCATCTTTACATACATTTGATTTACCAGTAATGAGTTAGAAAGTCATGTTAGTTATCTATTCATGTGTTAGTGTTAGTCTTACATTTTAGAAGTATGATATAGAAATAGTTTCATTCAGGAAAAAGAACTTATCTCTATTCTAATGAGCCAAAATTTCTCTTAGAAACTTTTGAAAATACACAATCAACTTTCCTTGGTTGTGCAAATCTAAATGTTTGATATAGTTATATCAACTAAAGCATGAAGTTTTGTCTGAGGAGTGATCCATCTTGGCTCAGGGGACAGGTAATGTCTGAAATTCTAATAATTAATCAGGAAGTTGAATGTCTTTCCTTCATTTGTCTTAAGGCTTGCAAAAATACTTGTTTTGTTTCCTCAAGTGTGGAACTGTATACTTTAAGATCTTCCTCCTTGGCTTTCAGTGTTCGTTTCAATGCAGCTTTCAGAGTTTCATTTTCATCTTTCTGAATGTCTAGCCTGATAGTATATGAATCAGAAATCATTTTTACTCATTTATCAATTGAAATTAATCGACGTGACATTAAAATAAAGCATATTTTCAAAAAATTGCCATCCATGTTATAAATGTAACAATTTTTAAACAAAAGGTTACCGGTAATATTGTCTGTTTCTGGACCAAGAATCAATTTTTGTTTTGGGCAATTATGGGTGGAATAGATTATTTAGCCAAGTAAGGCTACTATTCCTGGCAGGACTTAAATCCTCAGTAATAATCGGAAGATAGCAGCTAATCGTGGAATTTAAAAAAATTGCTATCCAATCCATGCAAAGAAAGCTGTAGCGTTACCAGTAAAGCTACATTTGGTAGAATAAATATCCAAAATGTAACCCTACTCTCCCCCATCAAAATCATTTAAACTTAAACAGAATCAAATTAAGGTTAAATGGTGGTCTGCAGGCTGGGATCGGTTTCTGAGGCCTTACATTGCCAGTCAGCGCAACATGAATATTAATGGTTAGAACTGAATTAATAAATCTGGCACAGGTCCCTGGTAAAATTTTGAAACTTGTCTGCCAAACTTAAAAGTTTGGGAAACGCTGCTCTAGATGAAGTAAGGGCTACATGTATTAATTTTATGTAGTAAAAAGGCAAATAAACAGCCTGAAGTACCGGTATATTTAACAATAAAAACAATTATCTAATACATTGGAATCAAAAGGAATTGACTAACACTCCCAAATATTGGTTGGGGATATTTTACCTTTCAATTTAACTACCAGTTCAGTTAAGAGCTAATAATTGTTTTTTAAAGTTCCAACCTTGTTTGCAGCTCATTGTTATCTACATGGGAATCATCCTCTTCTCTACCCTCATCACCATTACTCAGGTCTCTGGCAGAGTTGCCACCCTTGGAGGATCCTCTCTTTTTAGTTGCTGAAGAAAGCAAAGCAAAATTTATTCACATGTAAGCAACAAATTGAGTATTTATATAATATATATAATATACACTATATATAAAAATAGGAGCCAGAATGATCAATCTATTGATCGAGGGCCCTCAAAATATAGAGGAGAAGAAGAAGATAAATGTGTCTTAACAGTATTTGTTTTGCCTATATTTAGCACATCTTGGAATATATTTTTGATATTATTTAGTACCTGGTAGCACAGTTTTAGTGACTGTGCTTTAAAAATTTGATAGCAAAAACAAATTTTGGCTCCTCAAATGTTAGATTTGTTTCTAGGTATATTAATTTGACCTGCTAATTCTAAAATGGCTTTCCCCTTTTAACTCTAGTTTTATAGATTTTGAACATGTGTAAACTCTTTAGCATACAAATACAATAATTAGAATAATTATTATAATTTGTAATACAAATTATAATAATTAATATTTTTACAATAAACCTCCACTCCTACCAGTAGGAAATAAAATCTATGCGCAACTATTTTAACATATCAGGATGAGAAGCTTTGGAAATAAAAATGTGTGTAGTCTAAGATAATCATGATATACCATCTAAATATTTTGCAAGTACCACCGGGTAATTGGTTAATAAATCAGAAATATATTCCGTTCCAATTTGTCCTTTGATATAAACAATTTTATGCCTGTGTGTGTTACAAAAAATGAAGTAGAAAAAGGTTTGTAAACAAAAAAACAATTTTGGTAATATACATATTGGTGTATATATGTTACCCATGTCAATAAAATTAATAAAAACCTTTATTATTATGGACCAAAATTGTATAATTTCAAGCCAAGCCGAAAATCTGATGTGATTTTTGGATTCAGTGCCCCAAATCCACACGAAACAGGCAGAAACCCAAGGCCATAACTTGACTAATAAAAAAGTGTTGTTTCTTTTGTTTGTTGTTGCCTTGCTTTATTTATCATTGGGCTTACTAAAATAAATTTAATAATAGAATTATAATGTAAATAAACCAAAAATGCTTGACTGTGCTATATCAATGGAATATGGCATAATTCCATAGGATACCTAGATCACTGAGCTCACCTTCCAACTTAAATCTGCCCAATCTTTTCTCAAATTCCACACACAATCTTTTTTGAGCTTGCAGCTCTGACTGTGCCTCACTTAGTTTCTGGGTCTCTTCTGACAATCTGAATGGAAAAGACACTTGCACACAATGACAACTGTTGTCGGACTTATTTAAATATGAGTGAAAAATAATTATGAACCACTGCTAATATAAATAAGTTATGTAGAAGATTGCAGCTATGCCCAAGATCACAACAAAAACACCAAACTATTAATATTATCTACACTCATGTTATCTCTTAAGTACTATCATTATGACCTTACACTATAAAATCAACATGTAGTGATGTAGTATAAAAATATTTCTTTGCTTTGATGACAAAGCCAAAATGCAGTCATCTATTAGTCCCAATTTTTAAATAAAATCACAAATAACTTGGACTAAACCACTGAGTATCCTATAAATGCTTGGAATGGCTTTGTTAGACTTTGACTTCTTTGAGCAACATTTTCATTGCACAATACGTTTTTGTCAAGAGTGATGATAGTACAAAAAATGTATTTCTGTAATGCCAATGGTTTAGCATTTTAAATGGCAAAAACCTCACCTAATTATATAATATTTATCATCCAAATCTTTTACCTGAAATGGTGTTCTGAAATATTCAGCTCTCTGTCTTTTACTCTTGTATATTCGTAAATTAGAGAGCTCACCAGCTGTAAAATGGTGATGCTCAATGGTTACAGACTTTTTTTTTTTTTTTTTTCAAGAGCAAATCCCCTCTCTCCACGACCATTCAGCCAACCAGCCCTTTTGTTTTTATCAATATAATTTAATATAAATAAAAATGTCTGTCTTGTATATTCGTAAATTAGAGAGCTCACCAGCTGTAAAATGGTGATGCTCAATGGTTACAGACTTTTTTTTTTTTTTTTTGCAACAACAAATCCCCTCTCTCCACGACCATTCAGCCAACCAGCACTTTTGTTTTTATCAATATAATTTAATATAAATAAAAATGTCTGTACTCTTATCATAAAAGGTAAGTCATAATTAGCATCCTTATATTTGAATATATTTAAAGTCACCTGTCTTGCAGGACTTTAACAAGTTCAGTCATTTTATCTTTTTCAACCTTCAGAGCACGGCTCATTATCTCCAACTCTTGGCACTGATAATGTAAGTTGGATAACTCTTCCTGATTATTATGTGAATTCATTTGGCCTCTGAAAATTTATGGGGAAAAATTAGAAAAACATCCAAACCAGCACAATTGTCATTCAATAATGGACTGTTTTGCTAGGACAACCATTTATTCTGCATTTGAGGTCTTAACTCTGCTTGAATAAAATTAGGATTAGAATATAGTTATGATTAGACCTAGCTAGGCCTAATTATAAAAATGTAATATAAAGTATGATTTTCTCCAGTTATTAATACATCAGTATTTATTGTGTGTAAAAGGTTTTATTTAAACCTTTAAGCTATACAGTAGAGGTGTAGCGAAGGGGGGGCTTAGGGGACAGATGTCCCCGGGCACCAGCTAGTTAGGAGCACCCAAATTTGCTTTGATATTATTTTATTGATGAAAATAATGGGTTTTAGAATTGAAAAAAAGAAAAGGGGCGCTTTAAAATGAATCTTGTCCCTGGGCGCGAATCTTGTCCCTTGGCGCGAATCTTGTCCCTGGGCGCCAAACACTCTCGTTACACCTCTGTGTTACAGTTACATTTTGTAAACTAAAAATCTAGACTCATCCCATCTTGTAGAAGTACAAATAAACTCATTACAACATCATTTTTAAAAAATCAATTCCCTCTCTTTGCCCAACTTTACGATTGTTATTTGAGAAAAAGTAATCCATTTGCACCTATAAATTTTGGACAAACATTTATGTGCAATGAATATGTTTTATTTAAAATAAAAAAAATTATTTACACTAGTTTTTATAGGTTTTCAATTGTTAAACCACCTAATTACAGGAAGAAACAAACAAGTAGTCAATAGATAAAAAAACAACCTCAACACTCTAGAGCAATGTTATTAACACTTTTTAAAGAATCTAACCCCAGAACTGAGATTGGTCTGCTTGATGCCCTTGACATCGTCCTGGTACTCGAAAGAGCGGAATGGGTAAGGTCCCTCGATCTGACAGAAAGCAACAGATTTTAACGGTATAACGACATTAACCATAACCAAAAATATATTTAAAAAACACAGTGTTGCCTAAAGCCGAATCCTGTCTTAACAGACTTGTTTAATAGCTTGCACATGAGCTAAATCTGTATAAGAATTTTGAATGCACTTAATTTATTCAAGCCTCTAAAGTTTAAACTAGGAGACTTCCCCAATCTGATCAGTGTCATTTCGTTTTTTTTGTAAACAGTATTTTAGGAAGAAATGAAACTCAGGAAAAAACTTTCGAAAAAAAAATTAAAAAATTATACAATTTAGTACAATTATCTAAATTTTGATAACACAGCATGTGAGAAACTATACCGAACTCATTTCTTAAATAGCATGACAAATAATATGACCAATGTCTGCTAACCTTTTTTTTTTTATATATATAAGTATAAGAGTAGTCAGATTTAAGGGTGGGAACCCTTAGTAATTATTTTTCTTTGGCAAACGGCACGATAACGTTAAATTTAAAAATGGGCTTTGAAAATTCATTCTGAGTTAAGTTAGGAAATAAGCAATGGAATAATTTTAAAAAATTGTCTTTGATTATTATTATTTTAACAATTTTACACTGTGGTGATTTCTTAAACCAGCAATTGGAAGGTCTTGAAGGCCACATTTAAGGATTCATGTTAGAAGTACCCCAAATTTTTTTTTACAGTTACCTGATAGCAACGTTTCCGACATCTGAGGCTGTAGTTGGTCTACTATCTGTAACTGAATTGTAGTTACTTTGCATGTAGGAACTGTTACCGGTATTTGGATTATGGTTCTGGGCATGCTTAAGAATAAATTAAGAGGCATATTCATTATTATAAGTGTACATTTACTGACACAGACTAATTACAAGTTACCAAGGACAAAAAAAATAAAAGAAAAAATAAAGGTGACATTAAAATAATTCTTATAGAAAATTCAAGCGGTTTTGTTAACAACATAAAAATTAGTTTTTTGCATTATAACACTTACAACCATTCTTAAATGTTGAAGCTCCATCTCCAGCATCTTGACCTGAGTCTCTTTCTGGGTGGCAATGGCCTTGAGCTGCTCCACAATGTTGTTGTCTTGTTGGCTTTTCATGGACATGTGCTGCAGTTGTTGTTGTTGGTGAAGCTGTTGCTCTGACTGTTTCTTGGTGTGCTCATCTAAAAGTTGTTTCAGCTGAGCTTGTTGTTTCTATAAGTGTCAATGAATATTTGAAATAAAAATTATCATCCACTGTTTTCAATACTGTTTTCTTCACAAAATTCTTTATTTAATCACTGAATACCCATGGCCTGAATCCCATGCTTAACTGCTGCTAATTCACAAGTGATTTTACTTTCTATGTCTACTTTTTATTTAAATCTCATTAAAAAATATGCACAAAGAAGTAAGATATTATTTTACTTCAGCACTCTAGATTTGATTTGAAACATGCATTCTAACTTTGATTTAATACACCAAAGTACAGATAGTAAAGCAATCACTTAAACTTACCATCAGGGCATCAATAAATTCATCATCATTTCTGCTTTTCTTCAGAAGTGTTTGAACTTGGGGTTTTAAAGTCTTGTTTTCATTGGCCAGCACCTTATTTCTAAAGAGAAAGCAGAAATTATTTTCTCATTCGATTATTTTAAAACGATTTATTTCAATGAATAAAATTGCATTTAGAAAAAAAATTATTATATTTGAATTATAATAAAATATTCATTTCTGAGGGACTAAAGCAATATTACTACGTAAACAAAAGTTTGAATAAAACCGTTTTTAATTGTCATTAATGAAAACCAAGGATCTTTGTTACGTGATGTGACAAATGAAGCTTTGGTATTGCAAAAGTCTATCAGAGATTTTACCTAGCTTTAGCGGCATCAAGTTTGTCTCTGAGACTCTCATTTTCTGCTTCAATCACTTTCAGCTTCTGTGCTGTAGACTGAAAAATAATATACACTTATTTTCATATTCACTCAATATTTTTGTATTTTTAAAAAAATATTAGTTTTATCATACCCTAACTACTCTGCTTGGCGATCTTTTAAATCACAGCAACCTTATAATAGTACATATTTTCAAGTTTCTCCATATTTCACAGTTAATTATAGATCATTATCATTTTTTAAATGGTATTTTCACATTACCATGGAAACGTGTGCATATCTGAGAGGAAAAGTTAACTGATGATTGAAAAAATCCAGTTCATTAACATTCAGGGTTGCCAACAATCTATAAATTTTCAGTCTGTAAAAATTTAACTTATGACTTGTCATAACATGTCAGTAAGAAAATTAGGATGTCTGTAATATGAGACCCGGGTATTTCAACTCTTTTTTCTTCTTTTTACTTGCCGTAGTTATAATACAGGTATTTATCTGTAAATTTTATGTTTTTGAGTTGGAAACCCTGTTAACAATACAATTTGTGCCCATAAATTTTGAAAGTCACAAAATTATGATGCTTTTTTTTTTTTATGAGGGTTACTAAATTTGTGTGACATTTTGTAATGACAGGGTGATGATATCAAAAATACTTTGACCCCCCCCCCCCCCCCCCTCTCCATCTCATGTGATAGAAACAATGCCAAGAAAATGTAAATATGCAGCACAAGATAACTCTTTCCGAAGGGAGAAAATCCAAGGAAAAATTGTTTCAAGAAATAAAAACAATTTTCTTGGTTACTTTCCTAAAAAGAAAAGTAGCAGGCCTACTAGTACGTTCAAAGATATACAAATTACCTCCTGCGCCTCTTTTCTTTCTCGTTCAACTCTTTTTAAGTCTTCTCTATACTTTTCCTCCCTCTTTCTTGCTGACATCTTTTCATTGTTTGGACTAGCTAATTCACTCGTGGGACCTTCTAACTGGGCTTTTAGCTCATCAACCTGGCAATGAAATAACAATGAGCAGTGGTCTAGTGCATTGTTCCCCAAATGGCAGTCTGTGAATGGCACTGGAACCCAAATTGGCTGGTCAACACAGCATTAGAAACTAAAAATACTGAATGTTGTACTACTTTTTAGCCTGATTGCAATTTTAAGAATTGTGAACCCTATTAAAGACAAACCAATATAGTGAACATTTTTTTATGCAATAACAAGATCAAGCCTAAACTGGCAACTCCATTTAATGTTTCTGGAAAATGTGGATGCAAGATAACACACAAAACTATTGGACAGGCCAAATGAATCTATGTGACAGATGGGACTCCTTTAATGTCCAAAAAATTGTAGAAGTTTGCACACCTGCACCCTGAAGGGGTGGGCACACTAATGCAAAAAATGAATGTTTAATGCTTGTGTTTTGTGAGCTTCATTTAAGGTGGCATATCACATTGCTTAAACTAAAAAAATATGCACAATTGGTGAGGTGCTCATCCCAGGATGTGTTAAGGATGTAAGCTTAGAAAAGTTGGGTGAAACAGTGGCTTAGAAAGTGACAAAAGTGCCTGTATTGAAAAACACTATGGCTCAACAAATTGACGCTCTGGCTCATGATATGGAATTCAGATTAAAATAAAAAAAAGTATTTTTCTCCACAGCTGGATGAAAATACAGAATTCACCAACTTGTCAATTTTGATGGTGTATTTTGATGGTAATTTAAATACAAAGATTACATGAGAAATATTCAAATAAGTAGTTCTTTTGTACTACACCAGGACCATGCCAAGGAAGAGCAGTGACCGGGGCCAAGTCTGTGATGCCGCTCCTAGATATATAGAAAAAATGCCACCCTTGGCGAACCAGTGGAAATATCACTTAGATGCCCTTTTTTTGTGTGAACTACATCAGATTTTATCATTTAGTATTAAGTTCCCATCTATTGTTGATTCTACACACCTGAGGCAGTAGTTGGTCTACTATCTGTAACTGAATTGTAGTTACTTTGCATGTATTCAAGAAACTTAATATTTACATAATTGGCAAATGCTGCCTGTATTTCAAATTTTGTAATGGTATTTGTTAAAATGCCATTCCAGGGATACTGCACAAAAGCACATGAATACAAGTCAACATATTTTTCATTCATCTTGTCAGACTTGGCGCCAAGAACAATAAAAAATAATTCTGATGCAAAATTTAAAAACATAAAAGTTTGGGAAACGGTGCCCAATTGGATTCAGTTTTATAACCTGTTGTAGCATGAAGAATTTTCAACTTAAAATTTAAAAAAAAAACAACCAGAGGTTTATTACACTTACTTTTTGTTGTAATGCAATAATTTGTTGAGCCCTTCCCCTCCAGTTACTAGTTTCATTCAGTAGAGATTGAATGTTTACATTTTCACCCAATTCCTGACTCATCACCTAGGGATACATGGTAAAGGTGTTTTTGAAACATACAATTAAAAATAAGTTAATTATTTATTAGTTTAGAAAATCAATAGTTCTATTCATGATCTGATATCATAATTGTTAAAATTAAAAACAATAGTGTGTACTTGGTATGCATATCACTACTATTTAAAAATACTGTATATTGCATAAAATATAACATCTCTATTTCCATGTATTGTATTTAATACCATACATTTATTTTTAAAAATCAATTTTTTTAAACAGTGCAAATCATATAACATTTAATATACAAGTGTTTCAAAGTAGCAATTACTTACAAAACTTCAGCTTCAGACAGAATTTCTTGTACACATGTTAACACAAACCTTGTGAGCAATTTTCAACTCCTGGCGTAACGACTGACATTGATTTCTAAAATCTGTTAACCTAACTTCTGACTGTTTCAACCTCTCTTGCAGAGCTTTGATATCCACACCATCATCTTCTTTATTGTCTAACTGAGCTGCTGATCCTGCCACTGATTGTGTGTCTGACAGAGCTGGGCCACTCTGTAGCTGAAAGAGGACAGAAAAGAAAAGGGAAATAGGAATGAAACATGGAAGGATCCAAAACTAAGTCCAAAAAAAAACTTAGCAATAAGAGGTAAATGTCAAGAAGTGGGATGACCCACTTGCCATATCTGATGAGCTGAAATCTAATTTTGCCTTTCATTGTCCCAATGACAATCCATTTACTCTGGCAATATTCATTTATCATTTCTTTCTTTTTTTTTTTAAAAAATTATAAAATTATAATTATTTTTTTGTGTTGGTAAATAGCAGAGACGTTCAATTTTTAATCTCAAGACATTTCAGTTTTATAAGGAGAGAAACAAGTATTAATATAAAACCTCAGCAGATGTAGTTTCAATAACACAACAAACAGAAAAAAATATACAAAGGTTGAAAAAGACTAACACAAAAACCAGACCTTTCATCCCAAAAACTCTTCATCAGCAAAGAAACACAAAGACAAACACTCTTAGCTTTTTGTATAGACATGTAGTTGACACTCTTATTTTGTTAAAGTTATGGAGATGACAGTATATTAGTTGGACACCAATAAAACCTTAAGTAGATATAAAGACAACACTTTTGAAATCTGTTGAATTTAAATGTACTACACTTTCTTTTTTTTTTTTTTGTAATGAGAAATAAAGCTTCATCCTACTTGTTTACACACAACAAAGGTTTGTCTTTTAATAAGGACAAGAAAAAATACATTATAGTTACTAACCGTTTTGGTAAGTATGCCTATTATGGGATTAATTATTAATTCCATTCATTGGGCTCATAATAATTTATTTCTTTTTTTTCCCATATTTTTAATAAATTTAATTTTGTTTTAAGATTGTTTCAAATCATCAGATTAAAATCAAGTGTTTTGTCCATTATGATCTATAAAGCATTATTTATTTGATCAACCATACTAATAAGATAAAGAGGTTAACAGTGAACAACTGGAAGTTCAGGTGCATGTTGTCAAGTGAGTTATTTATGGAAAAACGTGATCCCTGCTAGAATTTTTTAAATATGATTAATAAAATAATTACTTGCAGTTGCAGCTCATGACACTTCTTCTGTAACTGTTTGCATTTTGTTTTTTCAGATTCTTTCTCTGAAGTCAGCTCCCTTACTTTCTTACTCAATTCAATTATCTTAGTGGCAGCAGTCTCATTTGTTATTGGACCTTCTGGAGAATAAAATATATATTTTATTATCCATTCCTATGTCAATAGGACTGAATTCGTTGCCTGGCATAGCTCTATATTTATGTGTTTTATCAGTTGTAAAATTCTGAAATTAGACGTCTTAATGACTCCATATTTATTTTGAAATAAGAAATTAATATTTTCTTAAAAATAAAACTTGATTGCAACAATTTTTTCTCAAAACAATCTACTCATTTTGGTTTTATAAATTCGAATGAACTGGTTATTTCAATATATGAGTATAACTATACCATGCATACAAAAAATTAACAGCCATTTGGGCCAGCACTCTTTGGCAAAACTCAAATATGGCTTCTTGTGATTTTTTAAGTATGATGGAGCAAATCATGGAAATTTCATATTTACATAATTATTTGCTGACATAAAGAGGTCAGCATTAAAAAAAAAAATAGCTTCTGAAGTATGAATATGTCATGTATGGTCTTTTTGTAAGACAATGGCCCAATTAATAATATAATTTCAATATTTTTTTATGTTAATAGAAAATTGTAACAACAATCTAATATGACTTACCAATTTTTTCTTAACTTCATTCTTTCAAATGTACATTACATCAAAATAGTTACATAATATGTCAAATATAATAAAGACTTGACATTAATTGCATGCACACTTTATGTCTGATGCAAACAGACTTATTATTGTTTTAACGCTCTATAAGTTTATTTCTAGTGCTGACAATTTTAAAAAATATTTTAAGATCTACAGATTCCCCATATCATATTATAATATTTTAAAAATTACGTGAGTGGAAAATACATTTTCTGTCACAAATCCAATGTTTTAAAAGTTCGTTTTAAAGTTATTAATTTTTAAGTGTCTCTTATGACATCTGGAAAGCCGGATTTAAGCGTTCAGAGAATTGTAGTGAATGTCAATTACATAAAATCTTTAAATAAATATTTTTGAAAGACTTACCAACAAAATTATTTTTAAATTCATCAGCTTTCTTTTTGACCTGGCGAATTTCAAAGTCTTTTTCATTTAACAGTTTGTACAGTCTTCCATTCTCATCTTTTATTTGCTGTCAACAAAATAATTCAATCATAAAACTCTGGTCTAATAATACAAATTTCCATCAGATCAAAATAGATTGATTACTTAATGTTTTATACTAAATTTTAATAGGTGGATAGAAGAATTTAGACAAGTTAGTTAAAAATCCTTACAGCTCAGAAAACAATAAAAGTTTTAAATTTTTTTAATTCAATCATCAATTTATAAATATGATCTTCATTTCATTTTTAAACTGTCAATAATGTGATTACGAAAGAATTTGACTCCATATGTTTGTTTTTTCTACAAAGCTTGATAAGACACTTGATCAATGCAATTTGTGACACTCATTCTAGTTACTTACTCTAATTTGATCATTCAGGTGGTCAACAAGTTCCTCTGATATGTAACCATTGCTAATGTTTTTATCTTGGTGATCTGACAGCTGTCAAAATAAATGCACACATTTACAATTAAACAGTGAAGTAAAAAGGTCTTATGTTTCATAAATTAATAAATCATGTAGAAATACAATTATTTTTATGATTTTATATTCAGGCATTAATGATAATTTGGTCTATTTACAAAAATGCTTTAATTTTAATGAGTTGATTAGATAGATTATCTTTAATTCATGGTATTGAAAGAGATTACTAGCCTTGTGTCAGCTAGCACATAGCAAATAATGTCAACACACTTATACTTTTATGAACGATTAATAAATTGAACTTCATCTGTGTATTTATTTAATGTAACTTTAGGGTCATACATAAATAATACAATGCTTTTTTGGCCAATTTTATCCCCCTTCCCCCTATTGTCACAAATCATCACATAAAGATAGACATCCTCATCAGAAATATATTACCCCCCCACTCCTTCCAAGATGTGTGATACTATTTATCAGTAGGCTACCTGTAGCTCTTTATAGTGGTATAAGGATTAAAAACCAGTTGGATATGCCATGTTTCATTACTGTGCTGCAAAATTCGTAGACTTTTTCTTTGAAAGTTTTTAAAGGGTTTTTTTTAAATTTCCGCAACGTATAAGATTCTCTCCCTTTTGTTTATCTTTGTGTTGTTACTAGAGTAAAATTTTTCTAAATACCACGGTGGAATGTTTTAAATTAAAATTTCATTGGTTGGTTAATTATTTCATTAAATTTTAACATTTTTGTCCTATTTTTATTTCTATCAGCACATTCTCTCCCTTTCTCCTGCCAATGATGGGTCATGGCAACCAAGGTGGAGGCCATGGGAAATGTCATGGCCCAAACAGCGAAAATTTATCAGATTTTTTAGTACTTCAACATATAACATAAAATTTCACGTACTTTCAGACCAAGCTCATCATTTACTCCAAATTTCTGTGAAACATTTTCTTTTGACTCTGATTTAATATTTTTATTGGCCTCTTCCTTTCTTTTCCTTCTCTCCAAAAGCTTCTGCTGCTGTTGATCTTGCAAGTGCTGAAACTGTACTTTGAGATCTGCATTTTCCATTCAAGTTAGAAATTGCTTGATGAAATAAGAAAATAAAACAAAATGTTGATAGGCCTAATAAGTTAATAAGAATTAAAGTTTCAAATTCATCTAAAAAGAAATCATTCTAAAAATAGCAGAGTTTTCATTTTAAAAAATTGCCTTGCCAAAATATGGTAGCTAAGTTGTTTCCTTGCAACATAATCATAGCATGTATAGTATATTAGACTCAAATCCAGAAGAGATGAAATGAGACTTATTTTAAAAAGCTTACTTCAATAAAAGTATCAGACATTTGCATTGCTTCAGTTTTTAATCTTACTTTGTTTATCCCCTTTTGAACCATATCTCAGACACAGACTTTGGTTAGGTCTTTAAAGTGGAATATAAGTTAAGACTAAAGTCAAAGTAATTATTAATACTCACTAGCTTGATGGTGATTTTTAAACTCAAATAACCCAAGAAGTAAATTACTGTTTTAAAAAACAGCAAAAAACTGCCAACTGAGTTTAATCCGAGTCTAGGTCTAAGTTCTAGTCTAAGTCTAAGTTTTAGGCTTAGTTTTAACTGTTTTAAAGTTAAAGCAAAATTTTAATCAATAATTTATTACTATAATACTATTATTAATAGGCCTAGTGCTAAGCAATACAGTTTAATACATTTTTATACTAGTTTTGTCTAGATAAAATTGCAGTTCAGGAGTGTATATTATTTCTGGTCAAATTTCGTATTTTTGCGTGTGAGTTATGTGAATTTTTTATAAAAAGTATTTTTTAAAGTAATATGCCATTTTTTTCTTGGAATACAACAAAATTTTAACAAATTTTACGAGATAAAAAAAGTACAAGTATATGGATCTTTTGTCTGTTACTGAGCCATTGCGGTAAATCAAGGATAACTCTTCTGTATTTAAAGATACGTTATAAAAGTTGCCCCATTGAATGTATGTTGTAGTATTTATTTAATAACTTTACTATCAAATATAACCAGAGTTATAGGGAACTTTCATACTTGAAATACGTAGGCAGTTTACAAGCCAAATTGCAATTGTTACATTCCATTTTGTTCTTCAAAAGGAGAATGACTTGCAAGAAATTCTATAGTTGTATTAACGTTATTTGTTGCCTCACAAAGTGCGCGTATGAACAAAATGCTGCATCATTTAAAATTTCCATTGGATCAACAATTTGAATTATTGTTTCTTGGTCATCCTGCCATTTTGAACTAAGTGATCCCACTACAAGTAATACAGCAGAACGAAAAAAAAAACAAAAAACAAAAAAACAAATGGGGCTAGGTAACTTTGGTTTAAAGACACATTAAAAATCAAAGAAAAGAAAAAAGCGCTTTATAATGCAGTATTAGTTAATTGCCTGTATTTATTTTAATTAATAAAGAATACACGTAAGTTTACATGAGTAAATACGAAATGCGTTAATAAATAAACCTGAACTGCACTTTTACCATTATATAAATCTATTTACTTATTTAATTAAGTCAATTGAGTGAAATTCAGGCTCAATCACACACTAAGTGTCAATATAAGTCTGATTAACTGATAATATTATTATTATGTCTCATTACTACTACTCGGCCCATTACTAAGTTACTAAAGTTTAAATTTATAGTAGACAAAAACAATCCTCATTTCAGACTTTAAATAGCTCAGTTTAGTCAAACTATTATGTGAATTAAAACTTATTTGCCAATTATTGTATTCTAAGTTTTAAGCTTAATAGTTATTAATATTAAAACACTTGATTATTGATGTTTATTTATCTTTTGTGTCTACTTGAACCGTGCATATCATAATCATACGTTACAGTTACAGTTACAGTATCATACAAGTTGGTACTTAGACTTAGACGACTTAGTGAGTGAGAGAGAAGAGGGTCCGAAACCGAGACATAAAGCCATAACCGTAATGGCTATTAGATTATTTTATAGTAATCAGTTACCCAAATAAATATCAAATTAAATCCTTTTTTTTTCTTCTGGTCATTAATAAACTGTTTACAAAAATTTCAAAGCTTCACTAGCAACGCTGATTCTTTTAAGATACAAAATATGTCAGCCTCGGGCTAAATAATTCCTAAATTTTCAAATGGCTTAAAACAATTTGGTGTTGTCCAATTACCTCCAATTTATTATTAATATTATTATTTTTTTTAAAAAAATGATTTTTAAATTTACCATGATACCGTACATTAAATATAAATACATTTTTAATAATGATTGCCCCAGGAGATCAAATTTACTATTCTAATTTTACCTTAATGTAGCCATACTTCTTATGTCCCCTTTTACCGGAGAGGCTTCACGGGAACTTGATTAACAACTTTACAAGTAGGATAATTATGCCATAAAATTAATGTGCAAAATTATTTTAACACTTAATGACTTAGTGTGTTGGGGGGTGGTGGTTGGCAAAAAAAAGGGGGGGGGTCTCAATGCTGCAAACAGAAAACTGAATTTAAATGTTTCTGCTTTTGGGTCTTAGTGTACACAATCGTAGGATAAAATTTACAATAAGTGAAATATATTTGTATATAAATATCTGACAAACATTAACTTTAAAAAGTATTCTGCTTTAATATTATACCCCATCCTCCGTAATTTTGAAACGTCAAAACATTTCCTATATCCCAGAGCAGTGGTGACGTTAATGCCGCCCGGGTGGGACACGATTTTGCTGCCCCCCCCCCTGTCACGAGAATAACTCTGGAGTTATCAAATTATGACCTCTCCCCAAAGAAAGAAACAAGTGACATCCCCCCCCCCCTCACACCTATTCTCCTTCCTAAGTCAGTGTCCCAGAGACTATATTCACTCCTATGATATTGCTTGTCTTTGAGGCTAACGTGACGAATGAGGGAAACTGGTTTAAGGTGGCTTAACTTTACTTACTTAAAGTTAATTGTCTTGTATCGTACGTTATTTGGGTTTATAAATAAATGCAGTTTTCGGTGGAGGGGTGGGTGGATGGATAAGACCTTGTACGTACTCATTCATGGGGGGTGGGGGTACGGCACCCCAAAATGCGGGTGCAACAGGGTTGAGGTTGAGATTGCAATTTAAATGTGTTCGTACATGTAATATATAGGTGGCCCCTTGCAATCTATATAAAGCCTTGAAGTCTATATAAAGCAGTGGCTCTCAACCTTCCTAATGCCGCGATCCTTTAATGCAGTTCCTCGTGTTGTGGTGACAACACCATAACATAATTTTCATTGCTACTTCATAAATATGTCTTTTTACAATGGTCTTAGGTGACCCCTGTGTAAGGGTTGTTTGATCCCCAAAGGGGTCGCGACCCACAGGTTGAGAGCCGCTGATATAAAGCCTTCCGAAGTTAACTATTCAATGAGATTGTACATGCAAAGCAGAGGCGTAGCGTGGTGGGGGCAGGGGGGACAGATGTCCCCGGGCGCCAGCTAGTTAGGGGCGCCAAAATATGCTTTGATATTATTTTATTGATGAAACTAATGGGTTTGAGAGTGAAAAAAAGAAAAATGGGCGCTGAAAATGGATCTTGTCCCCGGGCGCGAATCTTGTCCCCGGGCGCCAAACACCCTCGCTACGCCACTGATGCAAAGTATACATACATTTATATATTTATTTGGTCTTCTTGTGATTGCCAGCTAGTCTATATATATTTAACGTATATATTTCATCATTCCACATTAGCGTTTTTCGCAGGAGAACATTGACTCCTGGTTTAATATATCCTTCCGTAATGGTCTTTCTGTTTGCAAGCGCTTTATGTAAATGCATCTTCTGCCCGCTTGACTCCTTCATACACTGATGTTCGGCAGTTGGAATGGTGCTCAGAGATCATCTCCCATTCATTGATTTTTAAGTTGAACATGCATGCTACCATCCGATCTGGTATCGATGTATGCTTCGTCTTTATACCTCGAATGCAAACTGGAGAAGCATTGTGAATAAAATGGAGAAGGGCGTTGGTGAAATTTAACTTACATTCTTATACCAACTTATAGGAATGAGTTGAGAGTTTCATAATTATAGTCTTGTCTGTGTTTAGCCTATTTCAAAATCTGTTTGCTGTCAAACAGAAATAGCTGTTTAAAAAATTAATAATTTGTCTTGTATTATCGTTTTGTGAAAAATGCTTTTTATTTTATTTAAAATAGTGTTTCATTGATTTTAAATAAGTTTTTTTAAAGACATAGGACGGAATGTATTTTAATATCAGAGGGAACATTTGTTAATTGGGACTTCCTCTGCATTGCCTCCGTTCTCCATGATGCACCCACGTCTGAATTGTGATTACTCCACCTAATACCAGTCAGTCAACTACGGCTGATTATTCTTTAGATGACCATTGCATAGTGGCAAACTCTTGACACCACGTGTTCGTCTTGAGACTTGCGGAAAGCGCACTTTCGCATTTGCTGGCTCAACAATTTTGAACGCCCTTCCACTCGATCTCAGAAACATCCAGACACTGGAGTCCTTTAAAACCGATTTAAAGACACATTTATTTCGCAAGCACCTTCTGGGATGATTGTCTACCATATTTTCCATTTAATGCATATTAGCTGTGTTGCTCACGGTTGAAATGGGTTGAAAGACTTTGACATTGTATGCTTGTAATTAGTTTTTGTAGTGTTGAGTTTGTTTTAAATGTGGTAAATTATAAATTTGTTTTTTGTTGACTTTGTACCGCGCTTCGAGCCTTTGGGGAGGAAGCGTGTTTTTGAAATGAACTTTATTATTATTATATTTAGGAACAATATATCATAATATTTAATAAATATTTTCATAAATTTTGCAAGGAAAATGATTATAAAGTACACTAATCGGAACAATAAATTTGCTTCTTGTTCCAAATACCTGTATTCTTTAGCAGACAAATATCTGAATTCTGTTGTAACAAGCAAATATGTATTCTTTAACCCACCAAATTTCCGATCTGCATAACCACTAAATATTTCCATCCCTGAACCCCTGGCGCCAACTACATGTATTCTGTAACCACCAGGATGCACCTGACTTCCCCCTCCCTTTCCATGCTCCGCTCTGTTAGAGTTATAACCTGGTTTCTTTAATTGCCTTTAACATTTCATCTGAAAAAAAGCCACGAGTCTTGTCTCTTCATGAAGTGTCATTTGTCAATAGTTCCCACGGCCAATCAAAATCTAATAAAACAGGTGTTCTCAAAATGTTTTTTTTTTCTTTTTTTTTTTAAACCTTGGTAATCTTTGGCAGCATTGACGTAGTAAAACCATCGTTACCATTTTTGTGTAACTTTTTTTTTTCTATAGCATTTTACGATTTAAATTTGATTGATAGTTAAATAATAATTTAATTTTATTCACAATAAATACTTCCCTCCACCCAACTGCACCAAAAAAACAAAACAACCTGTATCTATACAAGACCCTTGAGTAGCTGGCGTAACCGTGGTCATATTTGCGCCAATTTAAAAAAAAAAATACCTAGCCTTTGTGATAACAAGCACGTTATTTTACACATCATTTCATGCCTGGTGACCAGTTGTCCCTCCTAATTCCTAATCTAAAGTCAACAAGTCACAGCCTAGGGCGAATAACACCTCAACAACTAACAGGATAGTCTTCCCTTGGAGACACACCTCTCTTCTTCCCGTTGACAAACCCGATAATTGTCACAATGAAAGCTTGAATTGTTGCCATTGAACTGTTCGAACCACAACAATGCGTGGACAAGGAAGCTGTTGTTTTCACATCAGGACGTGCAAATCTGTGACATGCATGGCAAAAGTCCCCGCTCATCTCACTCAGGCGCCACAGGGACCGCTAAAGATAAACGCTGCGACCTGTCCAGAAAGATCTGCGAACAACTGATTTATCTACAGGTGAGAATGTTTTGATGGAGTGGACAGGAACACGAGTGGGGGGGTTGGGGGGGGGGAGTCTTAGTGCGCATGTCATCGCTACATCGCTTCCGCATTTTTCATGGCTTGTGTTCGCATCGGGTGGCCCTCTGCTAAGTGCGTATATTATCTTGTCAAAATACCTACACAATAGGGGCTTACAGTATTGACGGATGACATGGTGACGTTTGTATGTCTCCGCGCTGTCGGTGTCAGGGGAACTTGATTGTTGGGAACGTTTCTTTGTCTCACAATGCGTTATTAAATCATCAGCACCTTGCAAAGATCTTATACCTAGAATTGGTAGCTAACATTATTAAATCATGAGCACCTCGCACAGATCTACCCAGTGGCGTAGTGAGGGTGTTTGGCGCCCGGGGACAAGATTCGCGCCCGGGGACAAGATCCATTTTAAAGCGCCTCTTTTTCTTTTTTTCAACTCTCAAACTCATTATTTTCATCAATAAAATAAAATCAAAGCACATTTTGGCGCTACTAACTAGCTGGCGCCCGGGGACATCTGTCCCCCCTGCCCCCACCACGCTACGCCTCTGGATCTATCTAGAATTGGTAGCTAACAGTATATCATCAGCACCTCACACAGATCTACCTAGAATTGGTAGCTAACATTAAATCATCAGCACCTTGCAAAAAATCTACCTAGAATTGTTAGCTAACAAAATTCTAAGACACAAACATGTAATGCAACGCTTCTGAACTTGGCTCACTGAGTACTTTCATTACTATAATGTCGACTGAAGTCTCTATCATTACTGAATAGTATATACATGTTAAATTGTACGTATTATTCATGAACAGTTAACCATTATCAAATTCTCTGCACTTACTCGGCATCCAGGACATCCTACTCTCAAGATCTCTAAGGCAGGCTTGCACAACTCAAAATGTAAGGCGGGCCGTAATACTTTATGAAAAACTTGCGCGGGCCAAAAGAAAATAGGACGGGGGGGGGGGGGGGGGGGAAAGGTAATAAAAAAAAAAAAAAAAAAAAAAAAAGGAAAGCTATTAAGAAAATAATAATAAAAAAGAAATATTTCGTTACTTCGCGGGCCGCAAAGTGGGTGCTGGTGGGCCACAAAGTGGGTGCTGGCGGGCCACAAAGTGGGTGCTGGCGGGCCACAAAGTGGGTGCTGGTGGGCCGTGTGTTGTGCAGGCCTGTTCTAACGCACCCATTGGA